TACTGTATACACAAAATATGAAATAATTTACATAAAGTACAATACCAGTGTCTGGTGCATATATCGTCGTAGATATTCAAGTTGTACCGCACGCACGCACGCACGCACGCACGCACGCACGCACGCACGGAAACGCACGGAGGAGTCTTGGCGTTTGTGTGATAACAGATAGCTAGCTACACTTCGACATTATCTTTCTTGATCGTTGAGTTTCAGCAATGTAAATGAAATGAATCCTGTGCTTTTACAGTCAAAATAGCACTATTGTTTACACATGTTGGCAATGTTTGGGAAATCAAAGGATCCCGTTATAAAATAAATCTTTTGTTTTGAATATCGGACAGGATACACTTTAACTATAAAGAACCATATTGTTCGTTTAATACCGTTTGATCGATCAGTCTGTGTAGAAGATATGTATGTTTTACGGCGATACTCGTGCTAAACTTCGCAAGCCAGGCGCGTGTGGAGTGTTTTCCTTGCAAGTGAAATATGATCCAGCTTCTCGCTTGAAATGTAACGCAACACTTATTGTTGATGACATTCAGTACAGCAGGAAGTCTTTGTCATGATCAGTACGAATCTAGAACGTTCCTTTCACAATCTCTTGTTGCAAATTACATTTTTATCACCCGAAATTATAACACATAAAGTTGCAATTTTCCAAACGCAACAAACACGCTCCTCTACCTCCCGACCCATAGTCAAATTATACGTTTACCCCCAGAATCTGGGTGTGACGTCATCAGCCCCGACCAGGGTCTTTGCTTCCCAAGAGCAAAGAGCCTGGGAACGAGGTTGAGGAAATCCATGGTTGCTACAACCTCGGTCCCAGGGCCTCACGGCTGACACTGCGTTGCCGGAGGCCCTGGCGAAAACCAAAACCGGAACTTCAAAAATCTTGTAGTTTGCCGGAAGTAAACGTAATAAAATGTTGACTCTGCATCTTTTTTTGCAAGGAGTGAACTTTGAGAATTTCTCGAAAGAAATAATGTTTTACATGCAAGATAAACATTAATTTGATCTGGTTATTTCACCATTAAATGTTTTAATGATTGACCAAATCAGTAAACTAAAGGATTATGTAAATGTTTCAATTATGAAAGCTGTTCAAGTCATCAATCGAAGGATACAATGTGTAGTTTGGGAGTGTCATTGAAATAAATTGAATACGGACGGCAATCAATTGGAGAACATGAAAGTTTTTGAATTTTTATTATAATCGACGAAATATACAGACAATTTAAAAGCGATAGTTGTGGACGAAGCCCAATCTTAATTGTTACTGAATTATGGTGAGTGAGTGATACTGATATATTTGGTTGTTTCTCAATATTCTTTCTTTGCTATATTATCTGCAAGACTGTACATGTACATACAGATAACATATATTCTGTTTAATACGTCTGTTTTAAACGCTGCATTTTACATGTGCCAAGACTAGAAAAGTTTGTTCAACCTTTTAAGTGCTACCAAATTATTTTACTCAGCTTAACATGCCAGATGATTGAGTGTACTGGTCAATGTGAGAGTCTACTGCTCAGTGGGTTAATCAAATTATCTATTGTACTTTACTATCTTACTGTCTAATGTCAGACAATTTTGCTCATCAAGGGGAGAGTGGGTATAATTGCAAAGTAATTACTTTGCCACTTTGGACAAATGTATAAGTTACATATGTTTACTACGTACCGGTATGTACATAAATTCAACATTTAAATCAAAATGTCAAACTTTATTATTTGAGTCAAACTTTATTATTTGAGTCAAACCATTTTTATTCACATTAGATTTGGCACATGTAAAATGCGGCATTTAGACAGAGACAATGAGCATAAAAACCTGAAATATTATGTGCATCCCACCTACCCCCCTCCCCTCCCCCCTACCCCCACCTTAATCTTGGTATCCCCAGATAACGATTGTTTGTAGGATATACAACTACCTGTAAGGTATCATATGTGACTGCATACTACAAGCTAGTATCATATTGTACAGTTTAATACACATATATGACTTGAAATATGTATTTTCTTGCCAGCCATTTTCAATCATAAAATTATCCATGTTGCTGTTAAATTATGATTGGCCTAAAATTTTTGGCTAAAGATTGTTTTAATTTATAAACATTGTACTACTACTTTAGGAAGGATTTCAGGCCTTGCTATGAAAGAATTGGTATGTCGGGAAGTTTGTTTCTTCATCAACTCAGAGAAAGAAGTTGCATCAACTCAGAGAAAGAAAGAAATTTCATCAACTCAGAGAAAGAAAGAAATTACATGAACAAAATAAACAATTTTGTGTCATTGATATAAATAATGATTTATTCTTACAATTTCCTCTATGAAAATTTGGTGTGTTAATACAGATACTGTAAAAAATAAATAACAGCTTTATGGTGCATCCATGCTGTGCTTTAATATTGCAGTGGTGTAGGAAATGGAGGTGTGTGGGTACCAGTGTGCTTGTGTGTGGAGGCCGGATGCTCAGGAATATCAAGTCCCCGACAAGGAATATCAGGTTCCCAACAGGGGGCTATAATCTTTCAAACAGTAAAATTATTGTTTTGTATGTTCAACTTATGCTCACACATGAAAATGTTGAATTTTGTGGCTCTCATGAAATGGTGCAGAATTTATTGTCTGTAACAGTGCACTTACCAGGACTACAAAACAAGGTCATTACAAAACATAATTTTTCCCAGTAAATTCCACTTCCCTGATTGGGGAGGGGCTAGAATTTCCACATAGGGGAGCTACAGCCCCTCCCCCATACCTGATCCTTGCTCTGCCTTGCCCAATTTCTCTTCAAAAGTTTACAAATTATAAATTTGGTGCTGTTGACATGAAGTGCTCCTCAATTTTAAATTTCAAAACTTTCCTCCTGTGCCTATGGTGACTAATTAAACCTTGAAATCTAGCACTATAATTTATAAAAATTATGTCAACTGCATGTAAGAAATTCAGAAATTAGCTTCCCAGTTAGTTTCCCAGTTTCATTATTTAATACTGAATGTATGTATACAGCATAAAATTGGGAGGCTCATCACCAGTGTAGCAAAGTTGCAGTATTACTATTAACAATATAATTTGTCAACTGTAAAAAAAACATTGATAGCCTATAAATTAAGCTATATATTGCATGAAATTTAAGGCAAAACAAGGTGGAAGAACTAACATTTCCAGCTATTATATTAATCACTTTGTCATTATTAAATAGTATTAAAATACAATATTTCATTATTAAATACATTTGATATAAAATACAATATTTTTACATAAATTAAGAGCCTTTGATGAAATTGATATAAAATCAATAAAGTATGCCTATTAAATATAGTATATTATAAAATAATTTATATTTTATAATATACTATATTTAATATAATATTCATGCCCCCTCTTGCTTTAAAAACCACACCTAGACACTCATTCACGATCAGGATTTTCTCATTTGTAATTGAAAGATGCAAGACATCACTCACAATTTTTGTAGATTTGTACAATTAACGGTACAGTCTTTCTCGCATAGCCTTTCGCCTGTCTTTGTTTATACTCTGTATATATTAAATTAAATCTCGTATATAAAACTATAAAATGTCTTTCGGCTTCGGCAATTTCAATCTTTAAATAATCCAATGTCCAATTTTGTGCAGCTTTTTAATACATTGTGACACAACATCCAACATTTTTTATATTAAAAATAAAATTTCCATTGATAGACAGCAGATTTCAACAACCAAAACGACTCTTCGTCTTCTTTAAAGAGTTGATACACTCCTATCTATTCATATTGTCAGCCATATTTATTAGTAAAAGTTCGTGTTCAATTTCCGCATTCCATTGTTTTCATGCGACCAATCAAATCACTTCTCGTTTTGGTTTTCGCCAGGGCCTCCGGCAACGCAGTGTCAGCCGTGAGGCCCTGGGACCGAGGATGGTGTGGCCAGAGCCACTCAACGATGGCTCTGGGTACGAGATTGTGTTGTTATCGAAACGAGCAAGTCGAACGAATGAATACGATTATATACGGTTTATATATCGAAGTATCAAGCATTGTAAATATGTAAATACAGTTCAAATTAAAGTAAATCAAGTTGGGCGCCATGTAGTTCATTACATGGCGCCCAACTAGTGGAACTTACGAATCCGTTAAACGAAGATAAAACGAGCGAAAATGACTTTTACGATTAAAGGCAATACGAGGCGGTCACCGCAGCGTCGTTTACAAAACACGAAAAGGAAGCTACAACGATAATAACGGACGAGATTTTAACGAAAGACGATATGTCACGAATCCAAGTCATCCAAAGTTTGTTAGAGGAAAAACTGAAGACATTAAATACGACAGATCAAGATGTTTTGACTCTTTGTTCAGAGGCAGAAATCGAAAAAGAAATCGAAGATTCCGAAGCAATAGTCGCACGAATAATGGGCGTAAACAATGCCATCGCGGAGAGAATAAAACAATACGAACAGCCGAGTCAAGTTGTAACAGGTGAGTCGATTATCTCACAAATTTCGATGCATAATATGGCTACAGGGGTTACAGTAGTGTAGAATCGAAGCCAGCGAAACTAAAATTACCGAAACTAAATTTGCCAAAATTCAAAGGAGACGTGACTTCTTTCACAACATTTTGCGAAATTTTCGAAAGCGCTATCGATAACTAGGGATCCAAGGATAGTGTGAAGTTTCAAATTGAAAAAGATTCTGCAAGAACTATATAGGGTCGCTGACAACCTAGAAAAGCTGATGTCTTACACTACGAAATAAACAATCACCAACGGCATTTCATCTCATTATATATTGCTTTTAATGCGCTCGACAGACGAGTAGCGTGACGTTTGAAACAAGCCTAACACATCAGAAACGTGCTTTGTGAAACTGATACAATTTATCTATTTATTGTGATGCTACACGCGACAATTCGAAATTTCAATTGCAGCTGTCGCTAAAAGCATCAGCACAAGGCTACTGCAAACTTATAGTTGAAATAGATTTATATAATAACTACAGTGAAACACGCAATTTGATTGGTCAACAGCCGTGCAGAGGGTCCTGAAGGGGTAAAATGGGAACTGGGATTGATCTATATTTAGACTGGGAAAATGGGATTTGGGTTGCTGGGACTGGGATTTGGCCACTGGGAATGGGAAATGAAGTCCTCAAAAATGGGAATGGGATTGAGGTAATGCGAGTCGATTCCCAATTTTTCTACGTTTTAAGTATTTTAAAATACACTTTTGATCCGTTTTTGGTGTCTTTGGACAGCACTACCTGCGAACAGGCAAACTCTGGCGCCCTGAATTCTGGGTTTTCTGATTATGTGTGTCCCCAAGTCAGATGCACAACCTCGTACCCAGGGTCTTTCCCCTTGGGGAGCAAAGACCCTGGTAGACGCTGGTCACGTGATCTGCTAAAATCCAGCAGATTTCTAATTAACTATCTTGGTTTTCTTTACGACAATCATACAAAATGCAAATTATAAATTAAACTATCAAAATAATCCAAATATCAAATGTTTATTGACCTGATCTTGGATGCTAATTTGTTAGATTTTAGCAGATCACGTGACCAGCGTCTACCATGGTCTTTGCTCCCCAAGAGGAAAGTCCCTGGGTACGAGGTTGGTCAGATGCACAGTGGAATATACGCCTGGTTTCATAAACTTTATTTAATGAGGGATTACACTGATTACTTAATATAGTATTCTTCCCAAATGGCCCTCGATATCTAATAGTAATATATAAAAAGAAAATCCTATTGAGAGTAACATTGACAATGAGTAATATGCTTACAATCGATGCAGCGGAATTTATTAACGTGATCTACTTCATAATTCAATTGAATAAAGTAGGTTTTGAGCTTCTTTTTATAGGAATAAATTGAATGATTTTCAATATCTTTTAATTCGGAAGGTAGAGAATTAAATAAACTTGCACCATTGAAGGAAATTTTGGATTTTGCTTGCGTAGTCTTAACTGATGGAACTTTTAAGTCTGTAATAGACGATCTAGTTGGAATTGGATGAGAGTCGCGAACAAAGACAAACAATTTACGAAGATCCGGCGGCCAAGATGTTTTTAAAGTATTGAATACCAATAATCTTTTTCTCATTTTGATCAAATTAAAAATAGGTATCCAGTTGAGTTTACGGAAAAGCACAATTGAAGGCACTTCAGTTGACTGCTCAAGAATTAGTCTCGCTGCACGTTTCTGTAGTTTTAGTAGGCACGTAATTAGATCGTTATTAGCATTGCCCCAGACTGTGCTACAATATAGCAAGTGTGGGTAGATTAGTGCGTAATATAATTGAATACGGGATTGAAAAGTGAGATAGCTACGTATACGTTTGAGCAGGTAAAGTCTAGAATTGATTATATTGTAGATGGTATTAATTTGCCTATCCCATTTCAGATGTTGGTCTAATGTAACTCCAAGTAAAATGGCGGATGTAATCTCCTTAACATTATTGTTATTGACTTCAATGGTTATTGGACTAAGATCAGGGAATTTGGATTGGGAATATATTTTCATTATTTTTGTCTTGCCAGGATTAAGAGACATTTTGTTATGGTTAGTCCAACGGGACACTGAGGTCATATCTGACTTTAGAGAGACACTAAGTTCGTGAAGGTCCGATCCGGAGGATATTAGTGTAGAGTCATCGGCAAATAAAAAAGGCTTAGAACTTCCAACGTAACTGGGTAAATCGTTAATAAAGATAAGAAAGAGAATTGGTCCTAGTATAGATCCTTGAGGCACACCAGACTTTATCAGAGCTGGGTTGGATAGAAATGATGCAATTTGTACTACTTGGTAACGATCATTTAGATACGATTTAAACCATTTTAAAGCTATTGGAGTAATGCCATATTGTTCTAATTTCTGCAGTAGCAATCTATGATCGACCAGGTCAAACGCTTTGGAGAGGTCAATTAGAGCTATACCATTAATTAAACCTTGCTCAATGTTATCGAGAAGGTGTTCACAGATCAATATTAGAGTAGATTCACAAGAGTGATGGGCTCGAAAACCATGCTGGCAACTTGATAGAATATCATTTTCTGTGAGGAATTTTACATATGAGTTGGCAACATGTCGTTCGAGGAGTTTAGATAGAATCGGTAATATAGAAATGGGCCTGTAATTGTTTCTCTCAGTACGTGATTCAGCTTTATAGATTGGAATCAGTCTAGCTTTCTTCCACATGTTGGGAAAGACGCCATTTTCAATGCTCATATTACAAATGCGAAGTATTATGGGTGCAATGGAACGAATCGAGGACTTGATGAAGTAGGCAGGAATACCATCAAGACCGGTTGACTTGTTCCGGTATATACTTCGTTTAACCCTTAGTATCGTTAAAGGCAAAGCACAACCGCTTCTGCCGGGTATGACTAAAGGGAGAGTTAGCAACCGGAGAGTTATCTCGGAGAGTTATGATTTCGGAGAGTTATGTTCGAACCACACCAAAACCACGCCTACTTTCTCCAATGACCACACCCAATTTCTTAACTCTCCCGATGTTTCCTTGAACTAACATGAAAGAGTTATGTTTGACGTAACTCTCTCTCATTAACATTATGAAGATGTTAGAGAGTTATCGTTTTTTGTTGCATGCCATATATGGCATGCAACTTTCATATAGCTCTAAATTTCGTGTCGTGGTCGGTGAGTGAGCGGTGAGCGTACCAGTCACGTGGCAGGTTCGTAAAATACGACAAATACGTCGCGTTTTTCCGACGAGCATTTTCATACCGGGTTTTTGTCGAGGAAACGCAAAGAAATATCGATTATTCGCCGAAAATTTACATAATTGAGCGCCTTAGAAAAATAAATCGAGGTAGGTAAAGCTTTGTTGTTTTTAACTTGCCGTATATTCTGTTATTTGTTGTGATTTTGGAGTGCTCGCGCGCACTGATTATTGATCAATTTATATCAGGCGTTTTATTTATGTATCGCGAAAGCCTCAAAGCCATATGCTCAAAGCACACGCTATCAAATACTCGATTTTTACATATTCAAACTGAAAGGAGCCATTGTGCTCGCACTGACTATATTCTGTGCAAAGCTTTAAAACTACAGCACATTTTGAAATATAAATATCAAACAAAATTTGAATTAAAATAGTAATACTATTGAAATTTAATACAACGAAATAGCAACCATTGTGAAGTACGCATAAGATTCAACATGACAT